AAATTTTGCCTATTTTGGGAGGAACCACAATATAAGTAGCAATTTTGAAAAATCATTATATATTTTTACAACTCCACTTTGAAAAACACCCACTAAGTCCACTGCCTTTCTTAGGAGAATATGAAGTTTTGCAGCCTAATATAGTTGGACTGATGTAAAAAAAAAAATAGCTTTGAGAATCTGCTTCTTTTTTAAATTCTTTCAATTAGGCATTGTTCTTCCAGGGATAGAAAGGCATCCTCGCACTATGACAGAGGATCGTGGGTCTTTTTCTGAAGTGGCAACACTTTTGTGTGTCCACAGAGCCTCCTGAAATGTTGTGACACTAAGTCTGCTAAACCAGGTGTGCTCTCTCTTTCTGCTTTCCACCCTGAGGCACAGGGGCTGGGGTCTCCTCATCTCCCTGCAGCAGCACCCACATTTTACACAGTCACCCATCATCACAATAAACATTACAMGAGTATTCTTTCCTTTAGGGAATTGCCAGCCATGGCAGGTGCAGCCAAGCATGCAGTTCCCAGCAGCACCTCAGCCCAGCCCTAACCATCCTAACCATCCTAACCCAACMCAACCCAACCTGTTCTGCAGAACAAGGCCCATCAGGGCAGCACACAGAGCTCCCCAAGTCCTCTCTGTGCCTTCACCATCCCATCCCCTTTTGCCATGCCGGAGCCATGACATGGCAAAATCTCAGGGCTGCCTGGTCTCCTGTCAGCACCAATGCCACAGGAGCTAATCACTCTGTGACCATGAAGTCTAAGGGTTAAGATAAACTTATTAGTTATCTTCGAGTGCAATGGAATTACACAGCAAACACCAGTCCTCAAATATGACGTGACTCAGATCTCAGATGCGAGCTGTCTAACATTTAACCCTGCTGAATTACTTGGGAAATTGCKTGTCCTGAAAGGGGAGGGGAAATCCTGAAACCACAGAATCAGTATGCTGGCTGGTGAGYCAATGATGATAGACTGTCAGGCTTCAGAATGTGTTTTCCATATTTGAATAGAAATAAAACCCTTTGAGCTTCTTAGTAAAACTAAGTTGTATCAAAACAATCTGTTTTCACATTGAGAATGTCAGAGTTGGATTCCACACTCCTCTYCTTAATTTCATTCTTTTATCTGGAAATGACAGGCAATGTATGCCAGGCATTAGGAGCAGTCCCACCAATTACTTCACAAAATGCCCAAAGATGTGGCTTTATCTTAACAGCATGTATTAGCAAAAAGCAAATTTATCAAAATAGAATTCTACAGCTATTCCATAAATTTAGACCAACAGTATCTTACAAACCATGCATACACCAAAAGCTAGACAATATGTAAAWAGCATTTCTGCTTATTTTAGATTTCAAACCTTGTGTCCAATTCCCACAGTTATCACTCCACTGGTAGTGGGCTGGCATGAAACAACTGGGCCTGTT